GTGTGTGTGTGTGTGTGTGAGTGTTTGGTGGGGGCTTTGGCTCTGTATTAGTTGGAGGCTCGTCTGGTTTGCCAAAAGCAGCAACGTCACCAGCAAACACACACACACACACACAGTGTGTATATTTCTTATACGAAAATGCTGACTTTTTGGCTGGGCGCGTGATGAAAGAGACAGAGGGGCGACGGGATTGGGCATCACATGCTTAACTTAACTTATTGGTCTCTTTTCCGTTTACATATTTTGATATCTTACCGCTAATTTTAGCTGCAGAAAAAAAAAGAGGAAATACAAGAAAAAGAGCGGCCAGAGAGCAGACCAGATCACGTGTGGCTGTATGTGTGTGTGAATTGCTCACTCTTTCATCGCTCTCTCTTTTTTTTTCGACTCCAATACCAATTAGATAAATAAGCTTTTAATGATTTTAGCAATTTGTTTCAATTTGGCCACGAGGACGTCAAGGGTTCGTACGGTTGAAGTTCTTTAATTAGCGTATGGAAAATTTTAGCAGACACTTTTAGAGAATTTATTTTATGGATTTTTCGAGTATTTAATACTCTTTGACTTGAAGTACTTTAATTATTGCTTTACATACAATTTAAATAATGGTTGTTATACAACAAATGTTTGTTAAGTTGGTTAAAAAAATACTATAAAAATTTTTAAAATTATTTTTTAGTACTTAGCCTCTTTAAAACAAATGTTTTGACTGTTATAAGTACTGTTAACACTGTTATTTTAGTTAAAATAACCTTTTTGGGGTAAGAAACCTCACTTAAGAGCATTTAATGTTCCCCTGCTTGGGCTTAAACTTCCTTTTTTTTACTTATTTTTATTTAAACAGTGGTCATTCGTTAAAAATGTCTGATGCAATAAGTGCGCAATTGCATCAGCTTTTAAGACGCGCGCCTGCGCCGCCTTACAAAGTCTCTTCTCCACAAGTGTGTACTCTCTTCGGTGCTACCTCTCTCTTCACTGCACTCGGCCCCCCACTGTTGCCAGGTGCGCTCTCCCTCTCTCTTTACCCGTCTGCCGCCCCCTCTTTCCCTGTCTCTTTCACTCTACTATATCGTACGTGCAGCTCGGGGGCTCGTCTCTTTTGCCATTTTGTACGCTTCTTTCGGCATTTCTGCCTTTTGGGTTTTTGTTGTTGTTTTATTTTGCGGTCTGGTTTTAAAAATAGAAAAAAAAATAGGAAGTGCGACTGTGATTTGCGAGTACAGTACTCGGGTAATTACGTGAAAGCTTCACGCGAGTTACGTCATGTGCGAGAAATCAGAACGAGCGATACGTCTATCTACCGGAAGATAAGTTAAGAGAGAGCCTTGAATATGAAAACCCCATTAACATGAATCATATGAATATCTTTTTGTTTTCATCACCATGATTGGAGGAAACAACATATACATTTAGCACCTTAAAGTATCTGTGATTAGCCCAGGTTAATGGGTTCCAATGAAGAGTTATGTACAAGAATCTTATCTCAGGTTTAAATTTATGATCGTTATGATTATACAAACTTTCTTAAGTAATATTGATATAAGGTATCCTCAGTAAATATTTTTTTAAATTTAATTTAAAAAGTTTTAAACTTAAAAAATAACTTTATAAGTTAATCTATAAAATTAAAAAAAAAACCAAAGATATATCTTTCAAAAACATTTTATATCATAAATAGAAAACTTGAAAAATAACTTAAACTTATTAAATGGTTAGAGAAAATTGCAGAAAAATATTTTTTATATATTTTTTATTTTTTATTCCTTTTCTTTTTTATTAAGAGTGTCTCATGATTTTCTCCCAGTGCTGCTTCAGATACTACAGCCTTCAGTACTCCCTTTTTCTCTGCCATTATTTCAAAGTTCATTGCACTTTCGTTATTTTTTTTCGGCTTTTTCACCACTTTGAATTCCTATTTCATTAGCTCTCTCCTTCTTTTCTCTCTCTCTCCTTCCACATATACCTTTCCCTTTCTGGCGATTCCTGTCAATCAAGTTTTTGCATTCAAACTTTATTTTTGCTCGCTGCTTTTTTGACCTTCCCGCAGATCAAGAAACGCGCCAAGCGAAATCCATCAAATATTTTAAAACTTTTCCTCGATTTCGAACTGAGGGGAGCCTTGAGTCATACCAAAAACAAAAATATATATTTGTATGTTTTAATACATTAGTACAAACCAAACTGATCCGAGGGCAAATGACGGTCGCTGGTGGAAATGGAAATATCGTTAAATATCGAACGCGTGCGTCGAAGAATCGTGATTAAAAAACTTTCCGTTAATTGTTCCAAATATTCGCTCAGTGGCGCCGAATCAATGGGGGGTCTTCAGTACCCAAAGCGAGCCCCTTTTAAAACAATTAAAATAAAAACAAAAACTTCAAAAGACTTGCCAAACTGATAATGGTTGTAATCTATTGTCTTGAAATATTTTTAGCAGGGATTTTAAATCTAATACGTGACTAGCCTAGCCATGCTGATAATTTTTAGAAAACAAAGAGCGATTAACTAGGCTATAGGGAATATGAAATTATAAACAATTGGGCATGCACAAACCTATTTGTAGTATAAGTCATAGAGTTGTTTCCATGATATAATAGTTTGTAACTTCTCATATAATAGCCATTTATGAACCAATTTTTTTTTTAAATTTTATAAATCACCTTATTAAGAATTAACAAAACGTGATACCAAGTTTCAGATCAAAAGAATCAGCACAAGTCTTGATATTTACACAGGAAGTGTAAGATACTTCTGGTATCTAATAAAGTATCTAAAAATCACTAATAATTCTCATGCATTAGTTTTAGCTCTAATAGCTAATTATCAGTAGATAAGTAAATAAACATATATTGTTGAAATACCATTCTGGTGATTTCTTTTTTTGGTCAGGGTGACCCCTAACTTTCAATCATTGCCTTGTATCTGTATCTGTTGCTTTTTTGGACGTATTCACGTTTCAGTATCTGTATCTGAAACCGGGTGCCAGATACTTGGAATTTTGTGTCGTCTCATTTCGCGTAATGTTTATGCCGCGTTATGAAATAGAGAGCGTCGGACGAGCCCCCCTGCGATATTTTATTTTGCTTATTTTGGGGGGCCCGTTTTTGGTATTTAAAACCGAAAAACAAACAGCAAATAAATAAATAAACCAATAAACCATAATTCGAGAGCAGAGAAGAGCACTTGTCGCAGTTAATTATTTGCCATCATATCATCGATCATCGTTTGTTTTGGCTGCACTTGCGTCAGGCCCCCAAAAAACTAAAGTGAATATTATTATTCACGATATATTGACATCGGGGGACACGCAAAATGTTTCCCAAGGCTTCCAGAAAATTTGCACGCGCCTCAAAGTCAATTTAATAACAATCAATTGAAAATATGTGTGTAAATAAAAATCAATTGACTGCCACTCACACTGAGGCTTAGAAAAGAAATACAAATATATAAAAAACTCTCAGCATCCAGCAGCAATTGGTCATTGAGCATAACATAACTATAACTATAACCACATAGCGGGCCAAAACAAATCAATAAAAATATATAAACTTAAGGGAAAAGGTCAACACACCGAATATGAAGTTATACTATCCAAAAGACTCTATAGTTTGCTTATAAATTATTTGATTTTTAGATTTACATTTCCTTAGCTTTGATCCTTTTTTTAAATTATCTTGTCTATGTTCAACATTTCCTCGAACCATGTTTACATATTTGTAAATAAATACCTTATTAATAGATGGCCTTCGGTCTTAATAATAGAAATCTAAAGCCAAAAATTTGCTCTTAAATATATTATACAAAATTTGATCTATTAGTTTACCATTTTCTAATAGAAAATGTCTTTGCATTGAAATAATGCCATTTTAGCAAACATATAAATTTTAAATTAATTCGTTTAATGTTTTGAAACTGAAGTAATATATTTTGCATTATACTTCTAGAGCTTTCCTTTCTTAAAAAAATATAAAATAATAATTATTAAGACGCAGAAAAATCTTTTAAATGGTGAATGTAAATGTGTTAAAGATTTGGCTTTTAAAGGTCAAGAGAATTCTGTCTCTTTTAAAAATTTACCAACTTGGTTTGTTTATAAACCAACTCAATTGTTTTCTCATGAAAAAAATATGAAAAAATACAAGCCAAAGGTACAAATAGTTAATCACTGAAAAGGTATTATTATAGAGTTTAATTAGCCTTAGAGAACCTAAAACTTAATTCTTGATTTAGGAATAATTTTGATACGCTTTACAGTACTTCTGAAAAGGTAAAGATTTGGAATTTCTAAATATAAAATATAAAAATTTACAGTGTAAATATAAATATTAAAGGCATTGTTTTATTTATTATTTTTTTTTTTATAATAATATTTAAATAAGAAGAGTTTTTTAAGTTATAGTATTTTTCTTTTTATTTTTAATTACTTGAAATCTTCTAGATTAAGATTCAATTTTTTCCCTTAATTTTAGAAGAAACCCTCTTATTATATCCTTAATAAAATAAACCAAGGACCTTCCTCAAGCCAGGACACTCTTTCTTCTGGAGAGAGTATTTGAAATGGTTTTTCAGATGGTGCCACTGGGTCGCGAGTCGCGACTTCTCTTCTTCGCCTCTCTCTCTTTCTCTCTCTTTACTTTTGCTTCAAGAACACGCGTCATCACTTGCTCGCAGCCTCCAAGCTGCAGGAACAACAAAGACAATAACAACAACAGCTGCGACACCTACGACTAGGAGGCGTCTCACACACACACACACACCCGCACACGAACAGTCCCCATTCATTCATGCCTTCTTTTCGACCTTCGTTCGGCTTCGTTTTGGCGTTCTCCCCAAACCAACAGCACTCGCTCTCTCTCTCTCCCTCTCTCACACACACATAGCGGGAGCAAGAGAGCTCGCCGTATTTTACCGTTGGTGGGTAACAACAACAACAAGAAAAAAGCTCGAGAGCTCTCTGCTTCTTGCCAGCCCGGAATCGGTGTGCGCTATATAAGCGTTGCGCATTCGAATCTCGTACTTCAGTGCCACAATAGTGGATATCACATTTAGTAGTTTGTTCAAAAGGTAAAAAAAACCAAGATATTTTGCAGAAGAGAGATTGTTAAACGAAATTCACCGCAAAATGTTCGAAATATAAATAAAGTAAAAAAAAGTGCGGAATTCCAGTTTAGTTATTTATAGTTTTTTAGTTTTTGCCTGTTCCGGTCGTAACCTTATCGCGTTTCTCAAGAAATTCATAAACACCAACAATAAAGAAGTCATTTATTATTATTTATAATAACAAAAAAAAAAAAAAAAAATTAAAAACAGTCGTCTTGAAAATTAAAAAAAAAAAAAAACACTTAAGGTCTTTTGCAAATTTATGCGCATTTTTAGTCCGTCAACTACGTCAAATGAAACAACAACTAAGTATAAATTTTTAATGAACCTTACCGCCGCCGGAGACTCGAAACTATTTTACGTAATGTGCGAAAAAAAAGAAATGTTGTAAAAACAGCAACAAATACAGCAACAACTTTTTGGCCAAGGGTAAAACTGCAATTTTTCGGCAAGGAAATCAAATATAAGAAATGTCGAGAAAAAGTTTTTCCTAGAGATGATGCTCTCTCTGCTCGAGACCGTGAAAATTCTTAAATTTAGACAAGAACTTGCATGTTTTTATTGTATCTCTCTTGTAGACTTCATAGAGTGTGTGTGTGTGTGTTAGTGTATCTGTGTGTTTGTGGCGCGCGAAAAAAAGTGAAAACAAATGCGAAAATTCTTGAGGTTGTACAAAGATTATAATAATAATATGTAGAGAAGATACAAAAATCCAAAATAATCCAAAGATCACCGAATGTGGGGGCGTCTTTTTTTCGCTAATTGAAGCAAATTCACTTATAATTCGGCACAATAAGAGCGCCACAATAAGCGTCTCGTCTGGCGGCTGCCTTTTGTTAATTTGCAGTTACGTTTTTATACTTAATTTATTTAAAAATAAATATAAATGCGAGTGACGAATACGAAAAAAATCGCAACGTTGCACTGTTGAGCGGGGTTTCGCACCTGTGTTTGTGTCTTGCCCAAGAGAGCGGCACGTGAGTCGAAAACGCTAAGAGAGAACGCAAAGAGAGCGCGTTGATAGCTCCCTAAGAGCTGTGCAGCTTAAGCTAGGCTTAAGAGCGACGTTGGTTGGTCTAAGAAACGTGCTGCCTCTTGATCACTTGGTGCTCTTCTCTTTCTGCCTCACAGGCCCCCAAAAATATGTGTCAGTACATGTAACAGACCGCCCCCCGCCCACACTTGGACGTGCTCAAGGTCAATGGCAATTTTTAGTGCCTTTTCCCCCCACCCCCTTAAGAATTTTTGTGCATTTTGTAATTGCGTTTTAGCCTGTGAGAGGAGAAAAGGCGCAACACGTTCATTATTTTAGCAATTAATGGAAAATTAAAAACAAAACACCGGGAAAAAATGAAACTAAATATTTATCACTTAACCTTATCGAAATTCCCATATCTATAGTTTTTTTTTATATCTCTGTGATTTTTTGTTGATACATTTATTTGAGATATGGGATTGAATCATTTTTAGTTACAGGGAAAGAAATTGGGTTGAATTTTGTTCAAATCCATGTATTTATTTAATAAATTATTAAGTTTTTTACATGTATCTTTTTATAAAAAAGGTATATATTTTGTTAAATTAATTTAAAGATCTATTATTTACAGAATTTAATAGTAGTAATGAGGGTTTTATGTTTATTGATTTATTATTTAACACCTTGCATATAATTCAGTTTCCCAAACTTAAATGCAAACCTACAACCCAATTTCTTGCAGTGTCTGCACTTGAACCCGTTAGGTGTGAAGGGCCACGCCCCCATTTAACCCTTAGGTGGGCGCCAAAAAGCATTATGTCACACACAACAAATGCTTAAATATTTGCAAAGAATTCCAAATAAAGAATAGAAACGCAACGACACCCACTTTTCCGCCGTAATAAAAGCGAATATTTTTAGGGAAAATTAAATATGGGTGGGTGGAAAAGCGAGAAAAAATTGGGGAAAAGCATAGACAACTCGTCGACGTCATGGCGCCCACACACACTCTTTTTTTTCTCTGCTGGCATCACATGACGCAAAGTCAAAAAGAAAGACAAAAATCAAACAAATGAAAATATTTCGATATTTCCCTTTTTTATTTTCAGCAAGATGCGGTCATTAATCAGCTAATAATATATATGCCGAAAAAGTGTGTGGAAAATTTCGAATATATCTATTTAAATATATATTTTTTAACCAACTGCCGCATGCCAAAAAATTAAGCGATCATAAATATTGTGGCTACAAAATATTTCTGGCTGTGAAAAGTAAATAAAAACATCTAGAAATCGTTAGAAGTTGGGTCACATGTGGAAATCAAGGACGCTGAGAAAAAAAAGAGGGCGTGTGTTGTGCGGGGGCTCGAAAGTGTTATCTAAAAATCCAACCCATCATATATTCAAAAGCCTGATAAAGCCAGTGACTTTTCAAGTGTCTCATTACTATAATTAAGTAACAAATTGCAACTAAAATTATTTTGCAGACATCAGACCATTCGAAATATTTGCACTTAATGTGTGTGACGTGGTGGAAATATTGTTATCAATGCGAAAAAAAAGATTAAATTTCCAGACTAATCAAACTGATAAGTGCACTACAAAACTATAATTAGCTACTATGCATAATTTAATTTTTAACCTTTGAAATTTCTTACTTTCTCTTTGCAGCAAAGACAAAATAAACACCAGAGAAGAGAAACACTAAACAAAACAAAGTGAAAATATATAGAGAACAAATCAAGCAGAAACACACTTCCCCAAAAGGAAAGGTACAGAAGAGACCCGTTTTAGTAGTTCAAGGTCAACTATAAAGCCATTAAGCTGATAAGATGAGTGGACGCGACAACAGAGGAGCCGGTGGCGGCGGAGGCGGCAGTCATCAACCGCTGAGCAACGCCATGGGCAAGCTCAAGGAGAAGCTGACACGAGTTGGTGTAAGTATTTATTACTAATATCAAAAATATTGGGGTAGTGTCTATAAAATAAAGAGTGTATATAAAAATAGAGCAGGGTTTATAGAACTTTTATTTTTAGGAGAAAGAACGGAAAACCTATGATTTTTAAAACAATTTATTAATATTTAAAAGAAGCTATTGTCTTTGAGCAATATGATTGGAATTATTAAGAATTTATTTTTTAAATTTCAATACCCTTTCGAGGAAAATTCTTCATAACTCAGTCAAAAATCCATCAATTTACAATCGGAAAGCTTTCCTATGTTAGTTTTTATAAGGTTAATAAATCTGCATACTCAATTTAACATTTTTAAAAATTCAAATTTTTATCAATTTTTTACTTTCATTTTTTATAAATTATAACCTAAAAATTTTCAAAAAAATTTTTCGAAATTTTTTTCTTTAAAATATGGCTAGATCGACTCGGCTTTAAATGCTGATTAAGAATATATATGATTTATAGGGTCGGAAATGTCTCCTTCACTAAGTTTTGAGCTTTTGACTGAAATAATAATACCCTGCAAATGTATAAAAGAGTTTATCTTAAAAAAATATTATTTAAATCATAAAGAAGCCTATTCCCCAATTAAACTACTAAATTAATAAGTTTAATAATATTTAATTTGTCATAAAGCTAATTCGTCATAAAGTTATTCACTAAAAGTTAAATTTTACATTTTATAAAGGTTTTTCTTGAATTAAAATCTTCAATCTTGGGCTTGTATTTTTATGACAAGAGATTTTTATAACATCTTTCACTATATATGAAGTTGTGAATCATTATTATTTTAAATTATAGAATGTATTTCCAAATTTAAAGCAAATATAATAATAATAATAATAATTTAAAGCAAATAAGCAAAACAATAATCTAAACCAATAGTAATTCCAGAACTTAAACTACACTTAAACTCAAACCCTAGTTAGAGGTGTCATAATAATAGGTAATAGTCAAAAATATGTGTTTAAGACTACAGTTCATAAATCATATAAAATATAAACTACAGATCTTTAATTAACTAAAAGTGAAGAAAAGAAGTATAATTTAGCTGCCAGATAGTTATAAATTATATTTAAAGAACTATTAAAGCTGGTGTAGTACGTTAAATGAAATTGAATAATAAATAGACCTAATATTATGGACTTAAAAAACAGTCGATATATATATATTTCACATTTGAAAAATCCCACAAAATCCGAAAAACCCCATCGGTTATAGTCTAAAAAAAAAAAACGGATGTCCTTAGTATATTATTCCAATCAACAAAAATTTGTAATCTCTTTGAGAATGAAACGTGTGAAGATCAAGCAATTAAATGTGTTATAATTGTTGTCGGAATTAAAAAAGTAAATATATGAGACCAAAGCCGAAAAACAAGATGATTATAGGAAGGAGGAGCATCATCATGAACTGCGCACATGACCGATAAGGCCATCATCATCCAGGCCTCCATAGATTGCGATCCGTTCAAGAACAAGAACCGAGATTAATCGCAATAAAATTCTTTTGGATCGGTTCTAGGCGGTTTCTTAAAGCTAATGTTGATGTATAAGCCAGACTTTTGATTAACATTTAATTAATCCGCGACTTTCGATCGCTTCGAATCGATTCACAGGACGAGCTGGGCTATCATCGCGTGGAGAGCAATCTATCCACCTCGAATACGGCCACCAGCTTGGACACAATCCTGCCGGAGGATCCGTTCCTGTTCCCCAGGTCTCGCCACAGCGACATCCACAGACAGTGAGGACACAGCAGCAGCATCGTTTGCTCGAGGACGAGCCACCGCTATCGTTCCGCCCCCTGCTCGAGGACGACGACATCAACGAACCGCCCACCCAACACCAACAGCAGCAACAGCAACAACAATCACAAAGGACACCGCTGCGTGCGAGTGGCAGCTTGGAGTTGACCCCATTGCCACCGCCACCCACTTCCCTGGAGATCCGTGAGCATCGCGATCGCCAGCAGCGTAGTGTCCAAGGTGGTGAGGAGTTGCAGCGCAGCAAGCAGAGTCTAAAGGGTTCCCGGGTGTCCTTCGAGCGCAGGGATACCGGAAGTAGCACAAAGAACAGCAATAGCAACAACAACGCCGAATCCAAGCAGCAGGCGGCGGAGAGCAGCGACGAGGATAGCTTCGAGGAGAGACGCTCGGGATTCCAGCAACAGAAGGCCACCAGTGTCGATCACAAGGGCATCTTGAAGGACCTCAAGCACATATTGGCCAACGACAATCGTCGCCAGTTTCAGGCCAAGAAGCACGTCTCCCTCGACGTCAAGGGCACACGCTTCCTGCAGGATCTACTCAAAGAGTCATCCTCGGAGGAGGAGTTCCACAAGACACGTCGCGAGTTTCAGGGACGCAAGCATCAGAGTTTGGATCCCAGGGTCACCTTCAAGCTAGACAAGGTCCTGCAAGGCTCCAGCACCGACAGTGACGAGGAGGGCGACGACGCCGAGCACAAGCGTCTCATCCATCGTCCCAAGGATATCACCAAGCCGGTGATTATCGATCTCAAGGATCTGGAGAGTGAAAGTGACGAGGATTTCCACAGCTCCCGCCAGCACTTTCAGCAGCAGCGCTCCATTAGCACAGATTCCCGCAAAAGGTGAGTCCAGAGGCAGTTCCACTCTCAAAGGTTATCTGTCTCAGACTTTTGCGTCATTCGACTTAAAACAGCATTAACATAATGCTAAAGAAGTGGATTATATAGTATATAGACTTGACTTGACAACAGGCAATTTAGAATTTAATAGAAAGCTCAACAGAAAGTAAAAGTAAAGAATGGATCCAGAAACCCTATATATCATATCATTCTTTTTTTTTCAAACGATAAAGTCAAGCTATCTATCATTCATCGTGAAATATATAATTTCCCAGAACTGATAAGTTTTATGTCTACAAATAATTCCTGGAAATTGTATTAAATACATATCAGTAAACTTGATTAAACAAGTTTTCTGTTCTGATATTCTTTTCTAACTAAAAATATACCTTAAAAGTCTTGAAACTTGTTGAATGTTTAGTAAGTCTTGCTTATAACTTAATTTATAATTAAACTTGCTCTACCTAAAATTCAAATGTAATCATAATTGATTACAATTACGAACAAATACTAAACTTATCCAAAAATAAATTCCCTGGTCATCAGAGATTATAATAGAATCGTTTCTTTTAGCTTATTTCACACAATTCTTTCATAAGCTTTTTGCGCACATTTTCATTTTTTGATCAATTTAAAAGAGGAAAGAATGACACAGGCAAAGTGTGCCGCATGTGGCATAAATTGGAATCCCCATCCCGTGAGTGATCATCATCTATGTATAGTGATAGTATCTCCGGTTAAGTCAAGCTAAGCCCGACCGACTACGCAATATGAGTTAGACTGGACAATAGATGAGTGTTAGCAACCTTCCTTCAATAGAATCTAATCCAACATTGACACCTTTTCTTTCTTCTTATCCAACAGCCGGCGATTGTACGAGATGGACGAGATGGGCAATAAACGGGAGGGGAATATCCGTCATGCGGTGCCCTTCGTCCGACAGATAACCGAGGATGGCAAGCCCAAGCTGGAGGTCTATCGTCCCACCACAAATCCCATCTACATATGGACACAGGTGGGTCATATATGGATATACATTTCTAGGGAGGAGGACGGTTATTGTCCCCTCGTTAGGCCCAGGCCAGTTGGCGCCTCTGGATCATAGTGACCCGATGTATTATTATGAATGGCATTAATGCGACCATAAAGCCAGGCGGCAGCAAACACACACTCTCGTTGAGCAATTTATAAAGCCAAGCAACCAGATTGTGTGTGTTGGAGCTGCTATTTTCGCACGCGTTTGAGTCCCGCTTTTGCCTTAATTGAAATTAAAGCATTTATATTTATTTATTGGTCTGAACTAAAATACACACATGTATGATGATGGATCGGAATAGGAACGCTTTATCAGCCAAGAGCCTCATGCAGGTCCTTTTAGCAAACATTCAGCTAGTTGCATTTCTGCCTTTGAACTGACTCAAACTGCTTTCCTCCTCCGAGAATTCTTAACTGATAAGGCCTGGGAACAGTATCTCAAATCCGTGAATAGTATTGTAAGCGATTAGCGATCGATTGCCGATCAGTACGTGCCCAAAACCGTTCTCAAAAGCAAAACAAAAACAATTTTCAATTTGAAATGCAACTGCTGCTGCACTCGGTCATAATGACAAGTTTCAGTTGAGTTTGGACAGGCGACAAGCGAACGCTGTAAAGCTAAAACCTCCTCCCGTGCCAAGGAGCAAAGTGAAAGGCATTTGCTAGTAGTATTAACCTTGCAACCCAAAACGATCGGCAATTGTAGTTAGATCGAGAGCTAAACGGCGGCATCATGAAGATCCTAATGCGAGCGGACACTCATGTGTCCTTCTCGGTGCCCGTGGAGGAGCCCAAGGCGATTTGTACCTTATCTCAGGTCTGCCTTTAAATGGAAACCCCCTAAAATTGACATCTAAAAACTCTCAACTAACTGGTAAATATCCTTCTTTCTTCTCCTTTTAGGTCCTGGCTGCTTTGAGCGTTTCTTTGGGCTCCCTGGTGGTTGGCTTTGTCAGTGCCTATACTTCTCCCGCTTTGGTTTCTATGACAAATCCAAATATAACATCATTTACGGTCACCCCACAAGCTGTAAGTACATATGCAAATAGCAAATGGCAAACAAAATTGAAAAATGGTTCATGAAAATGTGCAGGAGAGAGTGGAAAAGCAAAGAAAATGGAAGCATATTTAAAAGTAAACTAGAAAGAACTCTTTGTTGAGGTTTTCTCTAATAGTAAATCAAATATAGCTCCTACAGATCTTTGTTTCCAGTTTCTCTAGAGAATTTGCATCTAAAACTAAAAATTTTTCAATCAATTTAAGAGCTCTTGAATCTAACAGCTTAAGAAACCAAACCCTTCTATAATTTTAGCTATGCTTAATTTCCTAAATAAATACTAGTACTAAAATCCAGTCAAAAGGAATACAAATTTTCCTAGTTTGCTAAACAGTTTTCCTTACTCTTTTCTTATTACTTATTATAATTTAATATTAAATTCTCCTCTTTTCCTATATTTTCAGGCTTCCTGGGTTGGTGGCATCATGCCCTTGGCTGGCTTGGCCGGTGGCATTGCCGGCGGACCCTTCATCGAGTATCTGGGCAGACGCAACACCATCCTGGCCACCGCAGTGCCTTTTATTGTCTCCTGGCTACTGATTGCCTGTGCGGTGAACATAGCCATGGTGCTGGCGGGTCGTTTCCTGGCCGGTTTCTGTGTGGGCATTGCCTCGCTCTCGTTGCCCGTGTATCTGGGTGAAACCGTACAGCCGGAGGTGCGTGGCACATTGGGACTTTTGCCAACGGCCTTTGGTAACATTGGCATCCTGCTATGCTTCGTGGCGGGCACATATATCGACTGGTCAATGCTGGCCTTTCTGGGTGCATCTCTGCCAGTGCCATTCCTGGTCCTGATGTTCCTCATACCGGAGACACCGCGTTGGTTCGTGAGTCGCGGACGGGAGGAGCGGGCGAGGAAGGCTTTGGTCTGGCTGCGCGGCAAGGAGGCGGATGTGGAGCCGGAATTGAAGGGTTTGATGCGCTCCCAGGCGGATGCCGATCGTCAGGCCACGCAGAACACCATGTTGGAGCTGTTGAAGAGGAACAATCTGAAGCCATTGTCCATTTCGCTGGGCTTGATGTTCTTCCAGCAGATGAGCGGCATCAATGCGGTGATCTTTTACACGGTGCAGATATTCAAGGACGCTGGATCCACCATTGATGGCAATGTGTGCACCATTATTGTGGGCATTGTGAACTTTATGGCCACGTTTATAGCCACGTTACTGATTGATCGGGCAGGCAGGAAGGTGGGTTGCATAGTATATCTTATTATATGGGATTTATTATTAACTTTGCTTTGTTAATTTTCCCCTTAGATTCTGTTGTATGTCTCCAACATAGCCATGATCCTGACCCTGTTCGTCTTGGGTGGCTTCTTCTACTGCAAGGCAAATGGCACAGATGTGAGTCACTTGGGCTGGCTGCCTCTGAGCTGCTTTGTCATCTATATCCTGGGCTTCTCGCTGGGCTTCGGGCCCATTCCCTGGCTGATGATGGGTGAGATTTTGCCGGCCAAAATCAGAGGCTCTGCTGCATCGGTGGCCACCGCCTTTAACTGGTCCTGCACCTTTGTGGTGACCAAGACCTTCCAGGACATGATTGGTGAGTTAGAGCATAGATCTACAATATCTTTATAGATTTTTATATTAATTTTGATATATTTTCGATTAGATTTCATGGGCGCTCATGGTGCCTTCTGGCTTTTCGGGGCCATTTGCTTTGTCGGCCTGTTCTTTGTGATAATCTATGTGCCCGAGACGCAGGGCAAGACCCTGGAGGATATTGAGAGGAAGATGATGGGCCGTGTGCGTCGCATGTCCTCGGTGGCCAACATTAAGCCATTGTCCTTCAACATGTAAACAGCATGTCCAAGCAAGGATTTGAAATAGCGATCAAATACCAAATACTAGACTCTAGTGCCTTTTAGTGCTTAAGAAAGAGAGAGAGAGGAGGATGTGGAAATCCCATCCTGGACACTCTGATATTGTTAGTCCTAGCAAAAAAACAAAAACAAAAAACAAAACAAAAGAATTTCCTTTCTACACGCATAACTTGTTATATATTATTATTATTATTATTTAATAATCATTAAGTGCATAGTTTTATTATGTAAATTATGATTTTTAGCACTAATTAATTGTTGCGTGAATTTATTGGTGTAAAAAAATAACTGAGACAAAAAAAAGAAACAAAAGAAAAGCAGACGAAAAATGACATGAAAACCTAGTTGTAGTTAATCCAAAAATCTCTCCCCACACACACACCAATTTGGCTATATAATATCGAATATCTATATATATATATTGTACTATATATACCTAAGCAAGTAAGTGTATCTATTTGTAGACTAAACATAAAAAAAAACAAGAAATACTATTTAAAAATACAAATCCAAACCAAATTGCAATAGTTACTACTTTTTCTTTTCGATTTTGCATGCGGCGACCTTCTCAGGTATTCAGTTTTTTTTACAGTTGCGAATGTCAGCAGAGAAATACGTGAGTTTCATTCCGAATCTGTCGGGGACACATTCTAGTCGAAATAATATATATATACATATATATATATAGCATATATAGATGGCCATTCCAGAGGCACATGAAAATGCAAAAATAAAAACGCATTTATTTGCACTGTCGGTTTGAAGCCGAACGATAAGAGATCGATGCCGGGGAAGGCAGGCATTTTAATCGGTTCTCGGTTGGTTTAGGTTTCAGGTTCGATTCCTTATCACTCTGCTGTCATCATGTGAGTTGAAAATCGAATAAACAATTACGAAAGATGGATGCATCCGTGCATCCGTCCTACGGCTGTTCGATTATTTGATACTATTTACTTGGTTTTTATATAGTAAATCATGGATTACACTCATTAATAAGTATGACTATCTCTGGTTAATCTCTACTTATGCATGTGCTTTTCCAGTTACCATCTGAATCTGATCGTAGAGGATTAGAAAAGTGGGTTTTATAAATAGATTTAATGAGTCCATTTAAAGGACAAAACGTAATATGGTAATAAATATATATTTTGTGATGGAATATATATTTAATCAGAGATTGTTTACATTATACCAAATCTAGAGATATTCAGATTGCTTTTGAGAGTAATATATAATTTCAAAAAATAAAATAGTACTTAATTCTTGATACTTTTTGACTTTTTCAACCTAATTTTTACTCTTCTGTTAAGAATGTACTAGGAGTACAGATTATTCGTAAATTTCTAATTAGATATTGGTCATATAATAAGTCCGATCATAAAAATGATAATTATATAGGATGGGGATGGTAGAAAATGTTGATAGATCAATAGTTTAACGATATTTAACGCTATAATCTATATATACAAATTAATGTTTTAAAGCTAAGATCTATCTTAGACTATTTAACATTCTGTTTAATAAAACAATAAATTAAATACCCTTCTTCTGATATTATTGTTTGATAATGTCAATAATTTAAGCTAAAAAGCTTAAAAAGGTCACTGAGGGTAAGTATTGCTTATTTATATATTTTTTAATTCTTTTTTTTTGGGCAATTAATATAAAAAATTTTATATATATTTTATGAAATTATTACTAAAGCTTCATATTTATATATATATGCTTTTTTATTGTTATATTATTTTTTTTTAATATTTTGTGTCAATCTTCAACAAGTTTCTTGTAAAATTGGCAACACCCGCCATTAGAAGAGTACAGCAAGTATATTTGCCTTTGTCTTTGCTGCAAAAATGTTTCACTTGCTACCTTTTCTTGCAGCCTTGACTTGACAAATTATAAAGTGCTATATCTTCCACCCTTATCTACCATATCTAACAGACTTAAAGCATACAACTAAATGTTAATATTAATAGCAAACTTACCCATAACTTGAACGCGGCAAATGGCACAAATATCGCACTCGACGTCCCAAGACCACATAGCAACCGCATTCCATTTCTTTAAAGTGAACATCTTCTCCGGCTTGTTGGCATCGCCATCGTCCGAGGGGCGGTCCACTGAGTTATCCGGATCATCGGCCATGTTCAGAAAGTTAAAAAAACCGCAAAAATACGCAAAAAACAGAAATGTAAACAATTCCGGGGCCAATAAGCAAAGTGTGACTACACCAGCGAGGTAGAAAAATACTAAACAGTGTAGCCACACCACTGCATAAATATGGTCATACTTAGGTATGGTATTTGGATGATAGAAGCTTATCGATTATTGTCTATCGTTTGGCGGGAAATTTGTATTATTCACTGTTTTGCCTTGTTTAATGTCTTTTCACTTCAATTCATGTTTAGCCGTCGACGTGTTCGGAACGTTGCTCACAATTTCTGCCAGTGCGGCTTTCGTTGGATAAATAATAACGGTTGGTTCATAAAAATGAATGTTAAAGAAAATAAATGAATAAAGTAATATATAATATAAAATGTGCAAAATTAATTACGATTTCCGGGGCGTTGGTAATTATATATAAAAAAGAAAACCTTCAACTGCCAAAACTGTGACCGTGAATATTCCCGCAACCTGATTCCGAGTTTAATTCAAAAACACAAACAACGCGGCAAGCATTAATAATTAAGCAATTTCCATGCCTCTCAGTTGTTTTCTCCTTTATTATTCCGTTCGCCGTAAACCGAAATTGAAAAATAGATAATAAGCAGCGTTGCCATTATCATTATCAGCCGCAAATTGCGCATCCGACAATCAAAGATAAACATCCGTATCAATATACGATCCATGGCCAAAATGTGATAAGCCGGCAAAAAAAAAAATGATATAGGGAGTGGTATTAGCAAAAAATAAAGCATAAAAGAAGTGTAATAAAAGTGAAGAATATTAGAGAATTAAAACAGTGGAGAAATTTAAAGGAAGTAAATTTAAATTAAAGATATTCTGGGTAAAGAAAATAGGAATTAACAATGAATATAAGCATATGAAAATAAGCGAGTTAATTTTGTAACTCAATAAAGAATTAATAAAAAAAACAATATACGTTAGGTCATTTTTTTTATACAAGTACTTTAAATTATAGAGAATTATAAAAAATTTAAAATACAATTTTGGTGATCTTTTGTTTCGTTTAATTAAAAGTCAAGCCTGAAATAATGCCTAAAGTGATTAATAATCTATATAAAATAAAACATAAATGTTTAAAAAATACTTTATAAAATTTGTGAAAAACAGTTAAACAAATATATAAGTAGACAGAACAATAAATATAAATAAAACCCACCTAAAGTTCACGGACCCTTTTTGAAGCCTAAAAAAGCCGGAAAGCAACAGTTGAAAGCAATTTTAATTTAATTAAATTTTGTAGTTTTATGAGAATGTTGTTTGTGTGTGTATGGTTAATGTGTATCTGACGTTGTTATTGTTTTTTTTGTTTTTTTTTTGCTTTGTATTTTGTGGATAATCAACGTAAAGCTGGCACCCACATTGCAGAAAGAGATGGCAGTCGGCGGCAGCTCAATTGACTTTGCCATAAATTATTTCAGTTTCAGTTTGTATTGTATTTTTTGTTGTATATTTTTTGTATATCTTTTCATTTTGTATTTTTTAAGTGTGTTTGTTTGTTTGTTGTTTTTCAGAGAGCGACAAAATACGCTGGCAATTAGTGTGGAACGACAAATGTTTATGGGACACATTGATTATTTTTGCTTTTGTGTTCCGGTTAGAAAATTGTTTATGTCTCTAAGTGAAATTTAATAGCAAAAATCTAGAAATTAGAAGGGCGTGATGGTGATTTATTTCAATTGTTTGGAGTTATTATTTATAGAGTGCCAAGTATTGTTTTTTGGACTATAATTTAGAGTGAGTAAATCTTTTGAAATAAATTTATGTGGCATATTCCAGATAATATTATACTTTGAAGTTAAAGTTAGTTATTATTAGTTAATACATTATGATCTGGAGTAACAAGTGTTTTCAAAAGAGGCTCACTGGACCAGACTTAGCTACAAATACATTTCAAGTATATACCTTAATACCTGTAGAACTAATGCAATTAACTGGTGAAAAGCACCTGTTACATCTGTATACACCTGCCTTAACCCCTGGACACCCCCTCCCCCCCTCCCCGCCTCCCACCTGAGTTTATGCCACTTCACGTTCGATTTGAATGACGCAAATTGGTTGGTCGATCGGTCGCTTGGTGGCTGCAAAAGTGCAAAATCAACAGTTAATGATCTCTGAACAATGTTTACCACCTGTTACTCTGCTCCTCCTCCCCCCTCGAAGGCGGTGTAAATTTCAAAATTGCCAAGACAGTCGTCAAACAGAAGCGTTGTACTACTAATTTAACCATTTTCACTTTACATTCGAGCTGAGTTGGCAATAAAAAAGATTTAAAAAAATATATATATAAAAAAATCGTAGAAAAAACCGCAAGTTTGCGGCTTAAAAAAATAAATGCCAATAATATCGTTTAAGATATTGTATTACTTTTAGCTGTCAAACCGTCAAATATGCAATTAAATATAAAGAAAATGGGTTTTTAATGAACTTTGGATTGGGGATGACAGTTAATGCCAATATATCGAGTCTGTATCGATTTTTAATGTGGAAGTTGTATCGGTATTTTACAGTTGTTATATCGAAAAATTATAGCCGGGAAAAACAAGGAAATTTAAAAACTTTTCAAAGCTTTAGATTCTTTTATTTTTTATAATATTGATTGTTTTTCATATCTATATATATATTATTTATGTATATATTTATATGTATAAATAAATTAAAGTAAACATGGTTGAATGGTTATTAAAATTTCGATATATAAAGTAAAGTATATCCTCTCGATATACAATCCCTCTACTTTGGAGTTGATTAACCAATCACACCGATCGAAAGTCAAATTGCTTCAAAATCGTTTGTCATGCGCTCCGAATTTGAAATAGATAAATAAATAAATGCGAAATGCGAAATTCCAATCTCTGTGGCTCTCTGCGCCTGCGTAACTGTCAAATGTTGTAAAAAATCAATAACACAAATGTTAACATGCTCACAATGCTTAAAAACGCACAGCCCACAGACAAAAAACAAGTCGGACAGACCATAAAAAAACAAAGCAAAAAAGTCAGGAAAAAAAATCTCAGCTAAAATACAGAGAAAAATCAAATGAAATGCAATGCCTAACAAACGCTTTAGGCCAAACTCGGTTGCTTTGGGCCAATCGCCATCGTCAGATAAAACATTTGACACTTTTGGTTAATAAAAGTTGCTAATGAGTGCGAGCAAACTCGCTGATTCCGCGATTGTTGATTTTAGTTTTGTTTTATTTGTTTGTTTTTTCAGGAGTCTGGCCAATGGTAAAGCATTTCATAAATTAAAGTGTACCCAAGGGGAGGGACACTAATTGTGAATAAATCAATTGGAGTTTTTTAAGTTAATCCAATTAACGAGGGGAAAAAATGAGATATGGAATGTAAGCAGGGGAGTTTTGAGGTAAATGGGAGTAAATAAGGCAAGTTATTTTAGCAATAAATATTTGTGTATTTAAGGAAAGATTATAGCAAGTAGGTAAGCAATATTATAAAGTTATAGAAAGTTAAAGAAATATTCAAGTTCTCAGATCTTAGAAGACAAAAAATGCAGCTTTAGATGCAAGAAAATAAATAAAAAATATATTTTCGGAACACTTCTTACTTAGGTAAATAAGAAAAGCTGTTTAGGATCAATAAAATATTTTAGAATATTTATTGTTATATGAAATCTTAAGATATGGAGTCCTTTGAATCCTTAGATCAATTTTAAATCAAACTAAATTAATTTAAAAGGTAATATTTAATATATAAATATTCAAAACTAAAGTTTAGGGATAAAATGTTATAAAAAGTTTTCTTTTTCTTTTACTATTAACTATATAGTTTCGGTATCTTTTTCTCACTTAAGTTTTAACTAAAAAAACCAACAGCAACTCATTTAAACTCCTTCAAAATACTCCCTTTTGGAATGTGAATAAAATACTCCTTATATATATATGATCAACGATTATGATCGATCCATTCATAGAACCGAAACAGACAAAACAGAGAGTAGTCTTGTGTCCATTTGAAAATTGACTAAAATGAAGTGCGCTCATAAATATTTATTAGGCATTCGCTAAACTGGGCACTAAGTAGTCGATAATTTAAGCGGACAATCCGACGACGACATGAAAATTGTTTAGGCCAGGTCCACACACACACTAAGACTGGCTTTTGGTTTGAAGAGTGTAAATTGTAAATTGCCAGCAAGTGCAATGTGGGGAACTCCATGGAGTACACGGATTGGAGCTGAGCTGAACATAAACTTAAGCGCCAGGTTTCGGGTACCGGAGACGACATTAATTTATGTTCAGGCAAACACATTTTTGCCTGCCATTTAAGCGACAAAGACAAAGTACATACTGTTGGACTCAGGCCTCGTCTCTTCCCCCCTTTGATTCTGTACGGACGACGGAACGTGTCGGGATTATTAATTAGTTAACATCGGGTACTGGAGCTTGCAAAACACTGCACATTCCCATAGCCAAATTCCCCTCCAAAAGGTGGCCAAGAGATGGGAATGCATCGATGATCTCAGAGATCTGTGGGAATTTGTGTGTGAAAAGCAGCACTTCACGCTCGACTTGGGTCAGTGAATAAATATGTTAAAGATATTAGAAAATATAATAAGAAATTTCTAATTATAAATCATAACATTTCAAAAATTGATTTTAAAATAATTTTGCTTAATTTTAAAGGGGAGAAATTGTTAAAATTGTAGGATAAAATGTGCACAAGTAAGCTTCTTTTGTGGCAAGTATTGAATATCAATATTATATTGATTTTAAAATAAGTTTGAGTTATTTTGAGAGAGAAAGAGAAATTTGGAAATCTTTTAGATAAAATATACTACTCTTTTGTGAAAAGTTTTGAATATATTATAGATCAATTTAAGATCAATTATATGCTAAAAAATATTGTTTATTTAAAGAGCTGTAAGAAAAGCCTGCCCTTTTGATTTACCTTAAGTTTTGAGATTTTATTTCAACACAGTTCTAATGATTTTAAATGGTAAATATTTCTTTTCTGGTTTACTTTAATTTAAAATAATTTAGCGTAAATTTTAGAAAGAGAAATTTGGAAATCTTTTTGGATAAAATATACTATTCTTTTGTGGAAAGTTTTGAATATATTATAGATCAATTCAAGATCAATTACAAGATGAAAATATTGTTTACCTTAAAAGATTTGTGAGAAATGCCTGTCTTCTTGATTTACCTTAAGTTTTGAGATTTTATTTCAACACAGTTTTAATGATTTTAAATGGTATATATTTCTTTTCTGATTTACTTTAAATTCTATATATTTTTCCCTAAATTTTCATAGATTTTAAAAGGTAATTCCCCCAAAAAGAAAACCTCCATCAAACCCTATCAAAAGGCGCCAATCTGTTCGCTGTCTTTCCGACTGCCAAGCAAATTGACTTATCGCTCGATTGGCATCAGATTCAAGCCAATATCTTTGACCATTTCAAGCCTAAAACAGAAATTAGCACTTAATAAAAGTTTATTTATGTTCATGTATTGCTTGTAATTGGTCAGCTCTCAGGCTCAAAAAATAAGTAAATGAATAAAAACAAACCAGAAATCTAAGCCAAGTTACTCTCCGACTTGACTGATTTCCCCAAACAGTGTGTGCAATTCGCAAATTGCAATCGTCGATCTGAGGCGATTTTGGTTATGACCAGAAATACATATAGCTCAAAACCGAAATTCTATCACGTTTTCACGCTTCGAGCGAGGCGGCTAATGAAACCCGGCTCACAGTTTTTGGCTTTGTTATTTGGTGCAATTTGTAAGTCGGTGGCGTATATGTACATATATATGTATATATATAGTATGATAATCCATTCAATGCCCCTCCGGTGGCAGCCGACAGTTAACGCTTAATGGGCATAAAAATCGCAGCCAATTAGTGACTGATTTCAACGTTTTTTAGCTCTTTGTGGGGGGTCTTAAAAATCCACAAAAGTTACAATTTAATTACATTCCAGGGGGGAGGCAGAAGAAACTGATTGTGTTGGAATGTGGCAGCTTAATTGAAATTGGTTCATAGATAACAGAGTTTGGTTTCAGTTTCCAACAAGAACCATATCTATTACAAACTAGAAAAGCAATTGTTATGCTGCTAATTGGAAGCAATAGCTTATGTTTTCTTTTTGAATAAGTGTGAATAAATGTAATTAAAAGCAGAAATTTATTCTAGATTTTTTATATAGACTGTAAGATATTTCACTATTTTCCAAACTTATACAAAGCCACAATGGCCACTCCTAAGAGCATTACCACAAAACCCAAGCTACCGAATAAAGCCAGTGACTTGGAAACTTCTCTAATATTTGAATTTTTCCCCCCACTATCCCTCATTTCCTTGGAAAACTCCCTCTCCTCCACTCCTGGCATAATAACTCTAAAACTTAGGTGTGATACTTCTGACACTTCGGTGCCATTTCCATGGGAGACATTCCGTCGCCTGCGCTGTCCCACCGATGGCAAACAATCCTGGGATGTCACCTGGCAATCCTCACGCTCCAGGCAACCCGTAATCCGCATGGATATCACCAAAACCTCACCACTTTGCATACCCGGAAACATGACAGCCTTGAAGTGGAGCCTCTGACCCAGAGGTGGTTCCAAAATGGGGCCATGGGAGCAGATGGAGAGCATGGCAGGATTGAGACAACCCCTCGAACTGATTAACTGAACGGTGTTGAGCACTTCACCGCCCGAGGCAATCCTCTGGAGCTGCACATCACTTAGCTTGGTGTAGTTCCAGCCTGTAAAGAGTATAGAATATATACTATATAATCTTTTATAGATCAATATACCCACCATCTCCCGCTAGAACATGGGCTCTTAGAAGCAACTCCTCGCCCAGCTGCACTGCACCATTGGTCTCCAGGTGACGGGTATAACCATTGCCACCTTTTTGCAGTAGCTCCACATGGGTGCGAAAGGGATTCTGATTGCCGCCATGGGCATAGCTGCCACCACTGCGAGATTGTCTAAAAAATATAATATGATAATATAATAATATAATATGATCCTTAAATATTAAATGCAATCCTTACACATCATTGGCCACGGCCATTTTCAGGGCATGTGTCTTGACCGCCACTCGCTCTTGGGATTTGCAGTGTAGGGTTAAGATTGAATCCCCACTGGTTCTTAACCCTCTGATTGCGGGAAAGCGTAGACGTAGACACAGATCCTTACCGCAGGATCTCACGCCACAATGCTCGAAATCCTGGCCAGAAATATCAAGGAGCAGAAAACTCCTTGACAACTTCATTTCACAGCGTTTATCCTGCACATCGTCATTGTCCTGATCCACTGTAGGAGCTGCTCCCAAAAAGCTATCCAGCTTGAGAACAGCTCGAAAATATCCTCCAGATAGGCAACGCATATCCTTCAGACGCAATCGGAGTTGATTCTGATCCTGGTTACCTTCAGGCGGCAAATAAATGGGACCAGGTGTAGATCCCGGTTTTTGAGTGGTAAATACAGGAACAGGAGCCACGGGAGCATGGTAATCATAGCCTGGGGAGTGAATGGTCTCGATATCCTCGCCAGGATCCTGCACAATAATGGGTCTCGCAGTGGTAGTGGTTGTGGGTACGGAGGCGGTAATGATGCTGCCACCAGGTTGGGGATAGTAATAAGCAGGATATGATTCTTCACTGGATAACAAAAAGGGATTTGTTTAATTATTTATAATTAATTGCAAATTGCAAACCCACCTGGGCTTGGGACTTTCATAGTTGGGACGCTCCTCTATGGCCGGTGGAAGATAATGCTGACTGAGGGGTATAAATCTGCTTCCCTGAATCTTCACACTGCGATTTTCGATAATCTCCGGTAGACTAAACTCCGTGGTGGCCACCGGAACAGGAGCCACTGGGGAGGGAGTGACAGGTGCAGGAGCAGAAGCAGGAGGTCCATATAAACTAGGAGGAGATAATCCCAACTGAAAGGGTACTTGACCATGGAGATAGTTGCCAAAATGCTCCAATGGTGAGGCGTAATAGTGGGAGACATCCCCCAGACTTTCCCCAATAATGAGGAAACCCATCAGGGCAATGACTAGAGACGTCCACCTGGTTGACATTTTCACCAATTACTGACTGATGGTACGTCCAGTTTTGGGGTTTTTATAAGCTCTTAAGCTTAGGGCGTGACTTCCCTGGCCTGGATTAATTTTTTGGAACGAATTATTCTGGCTGGGGAACACTATCCCAGAGCTGTGACAGCTATCACTTTTAATGGCTGACACGATTTTGGTGTTACCCATCGATGGACTTTCCTTGGTCACGAACGGATTTGGCTTTGGATTTCGGCATTGTTGATTGGGTCAGGTTATGTAAAGCTAATTGCCAAGTGCTCTCCGGGGAACCGAGTTCGGTTCCATCTTCGATTCCATTCAATTCAATTCGATTCGATTCGAACTCACTTGTCCCACAAATCATTTGCCATTTGACATCTCGCTTGTGGACAACTAATGACAACAACGGCTGCGAACAACCACAGGCGGCAGCATTTTGGCCATATTGCGGATTTCTGAGCGTTGTTTAGCCAAGAAGTCCAATCAAACCTAACGAGCCGACAATCTGTCCGGTAATGTGCCCATTTTGGGCAGCCTCAGGTAAAGAGTCATACTCAAAGAGCGTCATAATGAATTCTGGACAGTGAAGAAAATTGAGTTAATTATTATTAAAAGAGTTCTAAAAATCTCTGGATATTTTTAGAGATTTTTAAAATAGTATTTCTTGTTAAAGAAAAATAATATTGAACTCCTTATATTCCTTACTCAAATGCCAACTTATCTGAGTCAAATATGTATACTCCTTCTTTATAATTCTTATTCTTATAAATTAAATTCAATCAGAAAATTAGTTCCCTTTTCTTATTTATCATTTATCAAATCACTCAAAACATATAAAAATCTTTTAAAATTATTTCGAGTGCACCTACAATTACTTGTCCATGTGGGAAGAGTTCTCCTTACTCTTAATCTGATTTCCGAGGTTCATTCACCAATGATTTTGGCCCATATTTGTGTGGCTTTCATTAGCTAAACATGACATTTATGCTTTCAGCCAATTATTTTTAATGTTTAATGTGTGTGTGGGACAGGTTATTCCCAACGGGCCAAATGCAATTAATTGAATTAACAAGACACCAACTCTAAACTGGATCTTCAACTTTGTGTAGCTTTGATTTATGAATCTGACCAATTACTTACAAGTAATTCCCCGCAGGATCTCAATGCCCGGCACCTCGTATCCCACGAATAACGATAATTTCAGCCACGGTTTCCCCATGGCCACCACCCAAAGTGAACGCTTGCTGCAGGCTCAGAATCGTAGGAAATTCAGTTTTCCAGCCACTTTGCATTCCGCCTCCTTGTTGGAGGTGGGTGGCGGTAGTCAGAGGGGAGAGGCCACAAGGAGGAGACTGAGCAATGTCAGCGATGTGGTCACCAGGAAGCTTTCCTATACGATTGGCTGGAAGGCGGCACAGATTCCAGCGCAGGATATCATCACACAGGTGGGTTTATAGAGGGAAATTTATAAAGATTATTAGGTATTTAAATATTTAGATAATTTCTACATTATTATAACTATATTTTCTCCAGGGTCGCTGTTTGTGTGGTCACTATATCAAACGACGCCTGAGAAGATCAGGTTTGTTTAATAAAAAGTTGGGATTGCAGCGGATACGCAGCATCCTAGGTTCCACCTCCATGGGCATTGTACGTGATGTCTTTCCAGCTGTTCAAGTGGTAATTATATACTCTTTTAAATAATAATTAAATAATAGAAAATAACATTTAAATATTTAGCTGGGCGACGAACTGGAGCGAATGCATCCGCGTGTCTATAATGGCGTTGCCCGTCAGATTTGCCGCAATCCTGGCGGTGAATTCCACACTCCAGATGCCGTGAGCTTGCTCCTCGGAGCCGTGGGACGTGACCTCTTTCGCGTGGAGATCACCTGGAGCAAGGTAATCTCATTGTTTGCCATTGCCGGTGGCCTGTCCGTCGACTGTGTGCGTCAGGGTCATCCGGAATACCTGCCCAAGCTGATGGAGAGCGTGTCTGAGGTCATTGAAGATGAGCTGGTGCCTTGGATCAATGAGAATGGTGGTTGGGTAGGGTCTTGCTTTACATTCTTACAGTTAATGAATATCAAATTATAGTTAATGATTTATTTCTTGATTTTAGGGCGGCATCAATACCCATGTCTTGCCCACTAGCAACAGTTTGAATCCCTTGGAGTGGACCACTCTGGTGATTGGTGTGGTCTTTGGATTGATTTTAGTTTTTATGATTCTCCGATTTATAATCAGCACGATAATACCGAAAATATACCAACGATTTACAAGTTGAATATATATTTTAGCATTCTTAATTGTGATGTCTCTTCAACTTGAACTTAATAAGATTGACTTTATTTCTTTTCTGGCGCCAAAATATATTTTAAATTCTTAGTAAATAAGTAAGCAAAGCTCTTAAAATGCTTTCTCTGGCAGACAGCTTAATTCCACATGTTTATTCAATTAATAAAGCTCTTAAAAAAAGCTCCCAACCAAAGTAAACACACTTTATGATCATGAATTCAGATAAGAAATTATCTCGATTTTTATAGACAACAGCCATTGCAAAGATAAAACTGCTTAATTCCTGTTGATTTTTTACATTATTCCTAGATCTGATTAATATTTACTTTTCTCTTTGCGCAAATAGTTGCAAAATCACATTTATCCCTCTCAAACTGATAAGACTGTACAATCTTTACATTAGAATAGGTCTTCGGCTTGTTCTTTTTTATTACAAAATTTGTGAGGAAAAATCTTCCTCAGACTCGGGTAGAAATTCAAATAAATGCAACAGTTATCAATTCATCGGTACATAATCTTTATACACTACAACACACGTGACAGTAACTCCTCCTTACGCCTTACAACTTGCCAGTCAGCTCGGGCACAGCCTTGAACAGATCAGCCACGATGCCAATGTCGGCCACTTGGAAGATGGGAGCCTCGGGATCCTTATTGATGGCCACAATAGTCTTGGAGTCCTTCATGCCAGCCAGATGCTGAATGGCCCCGGAGATGCCAACGGCAATGTACAGCTCGGGAGCCACAATCTTGCCGGTCTGTCCAATCTGCAGATCGTTGGGCACGAAGCCGGCATCCACAGCGGCACGGGAAGCACCAACAGCAGCTCCAAACTTGTCAGCCAGATCGTACAGCAGCTTGAAGTTATCGCCGGACTTTAGGCCACGACCTCCCGAGATGATAACCTTGGCTCCGGTCAGCTCTGGGCGATCGGACTTGGTCAGCTCCTGGGAAACGAACTCCGACAGACTGCTGGCATATTCACCAGCTGGTGCCTGCTCCACAGCTCCGCTTCCGCCGCTAGTAGCCGCCGGTGGGAAGTTCGTGCCTCGCACAGTGATCACCTTCACGGGATCCTTGGACTTGAGGGTGAGGATGGCATTTCCTGCATAGATGGTGCGCACAAATGTATCCTCCGACTTGACATCGATGATTTCGGAGATGGGCGAGACATCCAGCTTGGCAGCCACGCGGGGCAGCACATTCTTGCCGAAAGCCGAAGCGCCAGCAAGGATGTGGGTGAACTTGAACTGAGATTGGGCGGCAAGGACCAAAGGTGTCAGCGATTCGGCGGTGAAACCCTTAAAGGCAGCATTCTCAGCCACCAGAACTTTGGTAACGCCTTCGACTTTGGAGAGAGCCTCGGAAGCCTGGAATTAAGATGAGGGAAAGGTTAGACCAGGTCTTAATCTATCCTATATTACCATACTATATACTTGATTATAACAATTCTTGCATTCAACTTTTTTAAACGGGTTTTAAGCCTTGGCAAATATTGATAAATTACCTAAAAAGTGAAAAATGCTACCAAGTCTGCTATTTCTTCAACAAGACAAATATTTATATAACTGCTGCCTGAATCTGCTATCGTTTCCCACAACAAATACAAGCTAAGGCTATGGGAAAACTTAGAAGATCGGACTTTATATAGAAGCTATAGCCTCTAGCGAAACCTAGTTAAATATATTTACTACTTTTAAAACACATTTTTAGACTTGGGACGCTTAGCGACGATACTTACGGGTCCACACTTGGTGCCAGCCACCAGTACTGTGACGTCACCACCGATCTTCTTGGCCGCGGAAATGGTGTTCAGAGTGAGGGGATTAAGGGCCTCATTGTTGTGCTCGGCCACCACCAAGGTGCTCTTGCAACGCTGCAGCTGCAAATGGAAATTGCAAATTAATAAATTGTTATTTAACTCAGAGCCGCCAGCGCTTGCGCTTTTTTAAATTTTTTTGTATTTTGGCACTTACGAAGCTGCTGCGCATCACATTACGCGTGCTGTTGACGAACATTTTCCCGTTTATCTAGTTGGATCAGCTAATGCGCGGTTATGAAGAAATTTGTTTGATTAATTACAAAACTTAATTGAATTGATCAAAAACTTACCTCGGCTACAAAAAAATCACAAAAGTCCAAAGGTTCCTCACCGCGAATCAGCTGTTGAGCTGTTTAGGCGTTTGGTGTTTTTTGGTAACAGGTCACACTTACATCGGCGTTGCCAGACATCTCTGAAACATGTGTTACTTTCACTACTCTGGCAGCTCTCTTAAAAAAAAAACAAGCATTTTGATTATAACACATTTTCTTCAATTTTGTTAGCAAAATTACAAAATTTTCGCTTTTACTGGCTGCTTTACTATTGAAAACACATCTTAGACAATGGCCAAGGCGATACCCGACCGGTGAGTACAGAATAATGATGTTATCTGCTTGGTTCGCAATAGAAAATCCCTTTGTTTACATTTTTTCAGCTGGCTGAACTACAGTCCGATCGGCGAAAGAGTTCCTGGGACGCGTTTCATCGCCTTCAAGGTGCCACTGCAAGAGGTAAGTTTTGTCCCTTAAACCATGTATGTTCGAGCTCCCATTGCTCCCCAAAACCGGTTGCTACGGGGCCACTCAATTGATGGATGTGACGGCGGCGGTGCAAGGACCACCGACTTGGCAGTTTCCCTCTAAAAATAAATAACAACGGACAACGGACGACAGCGACGACGAATTTCGTGCATTGTAATTATGCATAAAAGTGGCAACTGGAACATGGACATGAGACCCCACACATGAATATTAAATTAAATTGTTTTTGCTTAATTAAATAACGCCACGAAGCTGGAAGCGTTCTTCTCCTCCTGCTTATATATGTATATATATATATATATATACATATATTAATTGCCTGGCCCCCCGGGGCAATTTTGCATAAATTGAGCAATTTCAGAGTCGTGTATTTGCCTTTGCCTTATCCTCATGCCTTTGTCCACCTCCGTTTTGCAGCATGTCAACGCCAGGGTGGCGGAGAAGCTGCGCCTGGCGCCCCAGTCGCTGATGGAATCGGTGCCGAATCTGGGCCTGATCATCGATCTGACCAACACGAATCGCTACTATCATCCGAGTGCCTTTGCCGCCAACGATGTGCGACATCGGAAGCTAATGATTCCGGGGAAACAGACGCCATCACGAGCCTTGGCTGAAAGGTAATTAGAACTTATTACGAATAGTGATTATGATTAATGTGAAAACATACATCGAGAGTAAAATTCAATATATTCACTTTCCCTTTAATTATATTTATTAATTAGTTATTAGTAATATATTTCCATGTTGTCTCTATTCCATAACAGATTCTGTGGCTTCGTAGCCGATTTCCTTGCCAGCAATGCGGATAATGGTGAGTGCTTGTCAAAAACATCCCACATAATGGCCTTTTTTGAGCCGTGGGAAACGCTTTCCAGTCAACAATGCAGTTGTGGTCCCAGAAGATGCATATCTTTCGCGTAATTAGAGCCACAAAAATATGCAAATATAAAAACGTATCAAAACGTAGGGCAGCCGCAATTACCACGTATCCTAATCCCGGTGCTGCACTGCCTCCAGAGATTCCTATCAGCCGGCAAGCGCACCGCAAACACATGGGGCCACAAAGTGGTGAAATGTGCCGCCAGCAAAGAGAAATACTCTATTTAACCCTTTTTAGCAGCCTGTGCCGGTGTGGGCGCACACACTCAATCAGTCAGAGGCAGTCAGTCAGTCAGTTGGTTGGTTGGTTGGTTGGCCTTTGGGGCTCAGAGTGGCGGCGCGGTGGGGCTCGTTGGGATCTCTGGAATCTCTGGGAGCCTGTCTGCCAGTCAGGAGTCCGGGCAAACAAATCACTTACGTACGGGGGCCACGGAGCTTAGTCATGCCGCCAGAGAGACAGATTGAGTGTGAGGGAAAAAGGCATTTCCAATTATGCACAAAAGGCATGCGCACAGGCGCGCTTTTCATTTATATATTTTCCATAACGAAGCAAATTGCATTGAGGCTTTCGATGCAGTGCAACAAAATTATATGTTTCATGGTCTGAGAAATTTAGGAAATGTTTTAAAAATTCCTTAGTTGAATTGAGCTGAATTAAAATAGTTAATTATTTGTTTAGACAATATTCAACATTTTTATCATGTATTCTTTATTATCAATGTTTAGTCTTATGATCAAATTTTTAAAGGGTTTAAAACAACGATAAAACATGTAACATTAACATTACAAAGTCACATTAGAAAAAGTTGTAAAGCCTTTACAAATGCAATATATCCTTTTTAAATCAAATTGATAATAACTTTTTGAGTTAGTTGGAATATTCTCCCAAAGTGTAGCTAATATTATCATAAAGAATACTTCATTAAATTCCAAAAATCTCTCCTTAAGCTTAAATTAGCAATATATTTTCTTGTAGGCTGTGGGCACTGCCTACGCCTCAATGTTTTCCCAGGCACTTTCATCTTGCGCTAATGTATGTGCGAACCGATGTAAAAATGTTTCCTACGAAGCGATCCTAGGCCTTTAATTAATACAAGATCTGGCGCCGCTGAAAGTCGCGTATAGCAAGACAATAAATAAATACAACGAAGGCTGCCAACATATTTACAACGAAACAAATCAGACAAAATAAGTCAAATCCGAGGTGGTCGCAACTTGTCAACGGGGCGATGAAGGTAGTTAAGGATAGGCACGGGATCAGAACAAGGCGAAGTCATTGCGTTTTCTACAGTGGGATTATACGTATAATACAGTTCTTTTTATTAAACATAATTAAGAATATTTGTATACCCTTGCAGGTTATTATAAAATTAGTCAGCAGCTTAAAAAGTAATGAAGGAGTCATTTATGACCCTGTAAATCAGATATATTCTTGATCAGCACAAACAGCAGAATCGATCTAGCTTTATTTTAGGGGAAATAATTTTTTTTTAATTTTTTCAACATTTTTAAGGATTTTAAGTTGTCAAAAAAAAAAAATTTAATTTTTTTACATTTTAAATTGAGTATGCAGATTTATTATTCTAACAAAAACTAACAAAGGACAGCTTTCAGAATTAAAAAAATGAATGCCTTTTTGGCTGAGTTATGAGATTTTTTAGCATTGATTTTTTAAAAAATTGTCACATAAAAATATAAATAATATTGACTCAAAAAAAGGTATTTTCCTTTTAGTCAGAAGCTCAAAACTCTATTAAGGAATCATTTCCGACCCTATAAATCATATATATTCTTGATCAGCACAAACAGCCAAATCGATCTAGCTATATTTTAGGGGAAATAATTTTTTTTAATTTTTTCAACATTTTTTAAGGATTTCAATTTGTCAAAAATTGATAAAAAATTTTTTTTTTTTTACATTTTAAATTGAGTATGCAGACTTATTAATCTAAGAAAAACAAACATAGGACTGCTTTCCGAATTGAAATAAATGCTTTTTTGACTAAGTTATGAGATCTTTAAGCATTGATTTTTAGAAAAATTTGTCATATAATATATAAATAATATTGACTTAAAAAAAGGTATTTTATTTTAGTCAGAAGCTCAAAACTTTATGAAGGAATCATTTCCGACCCTATAAATCATATATATTCTTGATCAGCACAAACAGCCGAATCGATCTAGCTATAATTTAGGGAAGAAAATTTTTAATAAATTTTTTCAATATTTTTTAGGGTTTAAAATTGTCAAAAATTAATAAAAAATTGATTTTTTTTTGCATTTTAAATTGAGTATGCAGATTTATTAATCAAAGAAAAACTAACATAGGACAGCTTTCCGAATTAAAATTAATGCTTTTTGGCTGAGTTATGAGATTTTTAAGCATTGTTTCGTTGAAAAAATTGCCTTATAAAATAGATAATTATTGATTTAATGAATGCGAAAATTCTAGCTTAATTATGATTGACATTCAATTCGATCCTCTAATTCTGTTGCAAACTGCAGGGGGGTTTCCTTTTTCTTAAGCTTAATATTATTTTATTAAATGAGTTATCTTAAAATGTTTTCTTCACAATGTTATTAAGTACTTGTAAAAATATGGGATTAATATTTAATTTTTCAGACCTGATTTTGAATTTTTGTATTCAGAATTGACAATCCCTTAAATTTCTATATTTTTCATTGATCCTAAACCACTGTCCCTTGGCTTTGGGACAATGATGCTCCGCTTGCAGTCTCGTAATTTAATTTCGTTTCGTAAAGTTGGCTTAAATGCCAACCCAAACATGACGTACTGACTGACTGGCAGCTTCGTCGCCGGCCTGCCAATGACCAGGAACAACCAGGCCGAAGTCAAAGTCAAAGTCAAAGCCAAAATCAAAACCAAAACCGAAAACTTAAACCCAAAGCTAAGGCTAAAGCCAATCCGAAACCAGCACCCGCATAGTGCACAAAGCCAGGCAGGCGGCCACCGCGACCTGGTGGGTTGTCTGGTCTCCTCGAATCCCCTCCAGTTTGTGCCGCTGCTGCGGCTCACAAATCCCTCCTGCTGACATGTTTTTGTGAAATTTATAGCCAATGTTATTATTGGCAGAGCGCGGTGCGCGCTGTTTTCTAGATTTAGCTCAGGTCGCTTCTGCTTTTATGCCAAATTGCCCAGGCCAGGCCGGGACAGGCCGGTTCTCTGTTGCGGTCTCTCCTCGGCGTGGGTGTTACCAATGGGCGTGGAGCGGTCGAGGAGGTGCCAGCGGAGCAAGGAGGATGGGTGTCAGGGAGTTAGAGCAGAAGAGGACATTCCTGTGGCCGTGTTTTGCAATGAAATTTGTAGCAATTTGCAGCAGACATGCACTGGCGGCAATATAATCAAAAAGTTTCTTTAGCTTAATTTAAATATTTATATATTTTATTATACAAAAATATTTTATATAATATTAATTTCTTTATATTTCCATAGACAAACTGATAGGAGTTCATTGTACACACGGCGTGAATCGTACTGGTTACCTAATCTGCTACTTCATGATCACCATGATGAAGAAGTCACCCAAAGAGGCTATAGAAAGTGAGTATAGGGGGAAAACCCCTCAAGATCAAATAGAAAACTTCCCTTACTTTGATATATCTTAATTTAAAACATCGGGTTTATTAGAAATGTTTATCGAGAACAATATTGCGTTTAATTTTCTCCCAGAACTTGCTTAATTTCTAATAATATAAACATAAAATAAATAATTGTATCCTCTAGCCTTTGCTGCTGCCCGTGGCCACAAAATTGAGCGTCAAAACTACATGAGTTCCCTGAAAGACCTCCAGCAGAAGGACGAAAAGGAACCAAGTATAAAGAACGATGGCAGTGGCAAATGTGATTACAATCGAAGATCACCATATAGAAAAGAATCTAGAGATAGATGGGAACAGGAGCGGCATAATCAGAGAAATGGAGGCTATCGCCACGAGTCTACTAACAGTAAGTTAAAATTTTAACTATGAATAACATAATATTTGGTTAAATTCAAACCAAAAAATAAATATTTTACTTCCTTTCGCCTTAGTGTAACTTGAAATAAAAACCATTTTGTATGATTCCTTTTTAGGAGACCAAGAGCAGAACTGGAGAACTGAAAACTGGAGAGCCCGCTTTAATGGCTATCAAAGGGCGTCATACCACTCCAGAGACAATCACTCAACTGACCGGACCCACCAGCGATTCGATAGAAATTTTAGGGATCATAGTTCCCACAAATGGCAGGACTACCGAAGAGATGATTATGATAATCATTATGCGAGAGAAGATCATGATCATTACAGAAGCTCCAAGTGGCGACAGGATTGCGAGAAGCGTCAGGATAGATTCCAAGACAACCGATCGAGAGGCTACAATCAAAAGTACTATCAAAACCAGCACCACCAGCGGGATGAGACGAGAGGGAGCTACAGCAGATGGCGTCATCACGATAACGATGTAGAGTAGCTGCTAGGTATCCCGAAACAAGCTTATAATTCGTAATAAATAACGCATTGACAGTTTTGGCCAATTTGCAAATTATGCCTAATTAAAGTGCAACAAGGGGAACAACAATTAAAATTCATTTGCAACACGATCGAGCGGAGACCAAGCGATCACATAATGGTAGTTAACAAGCCGTCGGATCGTCAGATCGTGTGAAGATGCTGCCACTCCGATAAGCGGCGGGAGGAGAGCGCGTGAAAATTCCAGGAAATGACAAGGTGACCAGCGGTGCCCAAGGCTTCAAAAAACAAATGTCAGAAGAGCGTGGAAAAAAATTTGCTATATATAGGTTTAACTTAAGGACACTGGAAAAAGCTTAGATATATGTTTAATGGGTTCCTTATTTAAATTTTTCTTCAAATGCAAAACAATAACAATAATATACAAATCTTAAAATGAAAAAGATTAAACTTGCAACCAAAACCCTGTACACAATTTTAATGTTTTTATATTTATCTTAAAACAAATGTACAAATTAAAGAAATATAAATACAAATTATTTATTAAGAAATTCAAAAAAATATGTGTGCTGTAAGTTTAATATCAATTATACTAATTGCAAACAGAGATCAGAAATTGTATTAAAATAAATGATTTATGGACATACTTAAAGAGTTTCACAAAAGCTTTTAACTAAACAAGTTCAATTAAATCAAATTGCAAATTAAAAACAATAATAATAATGTATTTAATAGAAGAAAAATGTTAAATTTTGTACAATAAAGGCAGCTAAGAAATGAAAGTCCACATAACTTGTAATAAAATGTCTTTAAAAATGCAATTTGCGTTTTCTTTTTTTATACAGTTATACAGTTATACATACAAGTTATTTAATAAGAAATTCAACAAATTTGACTTAAATTTTAAGCTTTTTATCCACAGTAAATAACCGAGTTTTATTTTATTTTTCACAGTACCTGTCACTTTGAGGCGGCTCCTGATCGTTTCATTATTTCGTCATGGTGGTCAAATGTCAACTTATTAGCATAAATGCTGAGATGCTCCTGCTGCTGTCGCCTCCGCCCATCGTCCTCAGTGGCGATCAGTGTTGCCAGGTGATGAGCGCCCATATAAGCTAGATTTAAAAAAAAAATAAGCTAGAATAAGCTAAACAATTTTTAAAAAATGCGAAAAAACAAGCTACACCCAAATATGAGAAAACACGAAACATATAATATATATTATTATATTATATGAATATGTTATTATTAAAGAAAGTCTTAAAAATATGTTCTTAAAGTAAGCACTTAAAACAAATTAGTTAATATTTCATCAATTCCTTCATGTTGTTCGTCGCCGAGTGTTCGGCAATGAACAAACAAAGCGCTGCTTCCTGATCCTGAGTCTTGCAACACTTAGCCGGAAAATTTATTTTTTGCGATTCAGCAACTGATCTCATTGATAAAATGTGCTTTTTCGATGCCGCATGCTGCCTGATTTAAAAAATTTTGGCTGATATTGTCGACTTACAGTAGCAACAATATGCTTTGGTTCCTTCTCCTGGCACTTAAATTCGTTGTTTTGGAGCCAAGCATCCCGAAAAATCTGTTTATATATAACTTTCGGCATTTTGAGGACACGCTTTACCTATTTTCACAACACAACAAAATTATTGGTGGTAACACTTCAGCCAACAAATCGATCTCCGATAACACTTTCGATTAGAAATAAGTTCACGATCACATAAAATGCACATAACCATCGGAAAAAAAGAACAAACTCCAATATTTTCATGCTATAAAGCATATTTTTCGTAAAAAACATTCCGTGGATGTCAAAAATACATAAAAAGCTAAAATATGCTAGATGAATTTTAAAATAAGCTATATTTCAAGCTATAAGCTAGATGGAAATTTTTCAAGCTTTTCTAGTTTCAAATATGCTAGAACTAGCTTATAATAAGCTAACCTGGCAACACTGGTGGCGATCCCTCGGGTTCCGATATCGTCGCATTATCTTTGTGCCATCTTATCGCGACCGCACGATCAGCGATTGTCATTATGGCCCCCGGGACCGAGAGGCATGGACAGCGACAAATCGTTGGCCATTACAAAGGCTGGAACGAAGGATCGATCGAATTGGCCGGGATCTCTGATCTGACTGCCCCGATAAACGCCTGTTGTGTGTGGTGTGTGTGTGTGGTGTGTGTGGCATGTGGCGTAAAGTTGTTTGTTGCGCTTAATTGGACAGCGTTTTGGGTCTTCCTTCCTTGGCCCAGACTGGCTTCCTTTATTCACATTTTTTGTGTATTTTTAGCATCTGACAATTGACTGACCCAAAGAGATCCACAGAAATGGCAAGAAAACGAGGGGAAAGTGGCTTCTTCTTCTTTGTTCAATTAGTTTTTAAACTTTCTTGGAAATATTTAACATTGAAGATCAAGTTGATAAGGTTTGGAAATAATTAAAGTTGTTGGGCTATCTAGCCTTAAAAAACCTTTAGCCTTTGGGGTCAGTTTTTAAACAATTGCAAGGTTATTTATATTCTTGAATAATTTATAATTAAGCCTAACTTAACTTTGAGTTTAAGTTTGTAGATATAATTATAGATAGTATTACTTAATTGCAAAATAAAGAGCTAATTCTAGACCTAGATCTGTTCCTTCCTATAGTATCTATATATATGATATAATTGTCATGGTTAAGACTTACCTCAGTAGATGATACATGGTTATCCTTACTTAATTCCTTCTAGTGTTATATTCTTGGTGACTTTAAATAACCTTTTCCTGGTATCATCCATGTAAGCTTCTTCCTGGCCATCCAGTTACATTGCATTGGCCAGGTGATATCTTTGGGGTCGAAGGGTAATCACTATCACTGCCACCATCACTGAAGATGTAAACAGTCGGGAGGCCACGTAGACACTGAGGGCGGTGGGCCGGTAGCGCCTGCTATTTATAGTCTGTGAGAAAAGAGAGCAACAGAGAGTGAGAGAATAACAGAAGTGAGAGCAAGCGAGAGTAAGTGATATCTCTAGAGATTCTCATAGGGACATGCCGAAGAAAGAGAGAGAGAGTGGCTCAATATCCTCTATTCCTCTCCAATACTCCCATAAATAGCACCTGCTATTTATAGTCTCCGAGTGAAGAGTACAACAGAGCGTGAAAGTGAGAGCAAGCAAGAGTAAGTGATATCTCTAGAGATACACAGAGGGACTTAGACATGCCGAAGAAAGAGAGAGAGAGAGAGAGAATCTGAGCATTCCTATCCCTCTCTCATACTCTCTCTGTGGGATACCCCTGATTATTATAATTTGGGTCTTTTGCTCAAGCCGCCAGTGACACACTCCCCAGAGTGTGTCCCTCCTCTTGGCATCCATAAATTGGCAGAATCAACCAAAAACTGGCAATTGTCAGTTGCCTTCGAGTTTATCTTTATTCCTTTTTGAGTTTGTTCATATTTTGTAGGCCTCTTCTTTAAATTTAGTTTATGACCGCAAAAAAGACAAGTTCGAGGAGGAAAGTGTTGCCAATTTCCACCCGAGAGACTGTGAGACTGAGACTTGCAACCAGGGAGCACCCATTTATCTTAGCATAACTTGGAGCGCGATAATTGCATTCCACGGCGTGATCATCGGGAGGAGCGGGTTCTGGCCATGGCCAGGACAGGCCACTCTTTGAAGTTCGCTGCGGACAATTAGCCATGGCCCATAAATTGCCATCTCATATGTGGCGATGCGAGGCAGGAAAGGAAGCGCGGCATTGATTTAAATAATAGTGTTTAACTTTTGCAAAACCAAACGGCTGGAAAAAAAGTTCAGAACGAATAACGTGGCCATTTCAATTAGCCCCAGCGACACACACAAAAAGCTGGGAAAAATGTGGAAAAAAGGAGAGGAAATCCAGGCAGTCAATCAAGGATACTGATATCAATGGCAGACCATACCGTAGCTCTCAATTGTTTGTCACGGCCTTTTGTCCCCTCTTTGCAGGTGATTTACAGTGCCGCTACGTCTGGCTGATAAAAAACAAATACAAAACTGAATGGGTTGATGGATCAGGAGCAGACAGAAGCTAAGGGAAACAATTGAAGGTAGCTTTAATCTAAAGGTGGAGCTATATCCATATAAAAGTGGGAAAAAGCTGAAGAAAAGGAGAAATAATTGGGAAACAAGTGACGCTAGAAAGAGCCAAAAGGCAAGCCTTTCTGTTAAGTATAAGTAATTTATAGAAAACACCTAAGAAAACCTAAGAAAATTAACCATAGACTCCCCTTAAGACCTATCTCTCCCTCCCATTAATATTTCCCCGATTTAAGTAGGCCAAAACATTTCACACATCTGCGAAAGGGGATTCATCACCTTGAAATTAATACCGTTGTACCAATAAAATCGTTATGTTGAAATGCAGTTCGATTAAAAGGCCTTGGTCCTGGCTCAACCCCTCAATTGAAATGCAGTTCTTTCGGGGAACCACACTTGCCATTTATCGCCATACGCAATCTTAATTAAAAGCCGCCCCCAGATAAAAACAAATGTTTACTTTAAAGCCGATACGAATCGGAAAACAATCAGGAATCAGGAATCTGGAATCGTGCCCAGCGAAATCGATTCAGTTTCGATTCGAATCGAAACGCGTTGAAAACACACCATTGCCGGGCAATTAAAGCGACTGAAGGGCGAGAGTTTATTCGTTGATTTTGCCGATTTTTGTTTGCTATATGGATGCCAGGCACGCACACACTATATCTCCTCCCACTCATTAAGGGAGGTCCTTAAAAATAAAAAAAAGGGATACTGGAAACTGGTTAACAAACTGCATTACCTGCCACACGCTGAGAAAATAAGCATTGTACAAATTATTACAAAATTATTAAGTAAAAGAAAGATATATAAAAAGTATTTTATGTTTAGTTAAAAGATATGTATAAACTAAGAGTCTTTTACAGGACTTACCAGGGTATATTTAGGTGCATTTTAGATCAATTTAATACTGATAAATATTTTACAGACATTTAATAAAGTTTTAACATCAAAAATGAGTTATAATAAATTTTACAATACTTTTAGAAGCTTTTGAAACTACTTTAAAATAGTTAGAGATATTTATAGGAGTTTCTAATATTAATAAAGAAATAATATATTATAATAATATATATGGAAGAGATCTTAATAGAGATTTATAATACAGATTTTGTTCATTTCTTTCTTGTATTTTTAAATCACAGGACCTTTAATAGAACCTTTTCTTTTAATAATGGAAAACATAATAGTATTATATTAAATATTCCATACTCTTTTGATTATAATATAGATAAATAATACAGATATAATAATATAATATATGTATATAAAATATAATATAATAAATGAATAAAAACCAAAGAAGCCAAGATAAGCTGTATAACCTAAGAAATATACTATGTATATATTATGAAAAATTTAAAATACTACAATGCAATTAAATATTTGTTAAAGTATAATGTTAAGTGAAATATATATTTATTTCTCTTATACCTATATAATTTGTCTATAAATTATGAGACTTTGTTTTTATTTAATTTTTCCCCTGTGCAACAATATAGACCAATCTAAGAGCTTGGGAATCTTCTCAGATATTCCAGATCGCTTGCACCTCCCACTAAATGCATTTCAGGTCATTCTGTATATTTATCCTTGGCATTTTTGCAACTCCTTGTATTTGTTGGTAGTAGTTTTTTAGTTTATCCTTTTTTCCCAATGGCGCCGTAGCATAAACTTTATTGTCGCCACATTACTGCTGCATACTTAATGGCGCCACAGTGCCAAAAAACACACGAAAAATGTGCCAGGCGTCTCCGGGTGTCAACGAACTTTAAAATGCACTGCACTAAGGAAAATCCTGAACCACCCACTCAGGATTTTCCCCACAGTCCTCGTCCTCCCATAGCCTCCCTCCAAAAAATTCCAAATTTTCGGCAAATATTTGTGCAAGTCAGCAGCTGAGGAGCTCCAGTTTGTGGACAAGTCGTCATCCCTTAGTGCCCAGTCTTGGGATTGGGATTGGGATTGGGATTCTTATTTTTCTGTTATCATTCGGACTGCATACAATGGGCCGGGCAAATTGCTTAGAGACTTGGCTGGCAAATGTTTTGGAAATATCTCAAGTGCTATTTATTTTGAAGGGGTCCAAGAGGGCCAAAGGGTGGTTTCCATTTCGGCTTTTATGGGGTGTCGCCTGTGGGTGGGTTTTTATTTTTTTTTTTTAAATATATATATATTTTGGATACTGCCCTGAGCTGCATAGAAAATTTGTAAGATAAGGCGTTGCCATAAAAATTTTAGAGCCTGGAATTACCTGGGGGATATTTTGTGGTAGATTTTATTACATTTATTATAAATTGTTTTATAGAAACATTAATCCAGTGTTGTATTTAAAAAGCACTTTTAATAATATTACCTACAGTTTTATTACAAATATAAAAATAAAATAATGTTTTGTATTCTAATAACTTTATTGTTTTTTGAGCTACAATATTAAACGGTTTCCAATCATCATCTTCAAGAGTATTATCGATTATAAAAAGAAAATCAGCAAGTTGAAAGCGTAATTCTATTTTCCCAATGAGCTTATATGGTGGCCACAAAAAGTTTATTTTTCTCTCCCAATCGATCTCCCAAATCTGTGGAATTTAGAGTATCTGCGATGGTATAGATCATTCTGGTTATGGTTGTTTAATAAATCAATTTGTTCGCAGAAGAGATGTGGTGGAGATGCGAAGCCGTTCATTGAGTTAATTTATTATTTCCGGCAAACTATTTCCAGTTGTGAATATTATTTTGAATATCACAAGTAGTAGAAATATTAAAAAAACGGGTTGGAGTAGCATCTGAAAGATATAGAGAAAATGGTGGATAACTATGGATATATTTACCAAAAACTATGATTTATTTGAATACTATTATAAAATCTATTGATTGTAGAGTCTTTTAATCAAGAATAAGTCCAGAAATATATATTTTCTGGCATATTTATATTTATTTCAATATTTTAAGTATTTTAAAACATTCATTTACCATGCAGTGCTTAGTGTTTTAATGTAGCAACATTCTTTTCCCAGGAAAAAAACCCTATATATCCAAGGACTCTTTAACTTGTGCAAGAACTTCACAACATCATGAATGTGAGAAAAAAATAAACAACTACATCAATCCGTCACTCAATCAACATCAACATCACCGCCTTCTGAACTCGTTCCCATCTCCATGATCGCCTCCCTGGCCACCAGCGTCCTCCGCTTGCATCCCAGGAATTTGCTTATGCGCCAGGCCGTCATCTCGATGACAAAACTAACCAGGGCCAGGCTGTAGCCCAGGGCCAGAGCAATCGTTGGCATGATGAAATAATCCAGTCCCAGAGGCTGTGCCTCCAAGTGCTCCGGGATGAGAAAATCCACGTAGCCCACGCGCACCGCCTCATAGTCGGCATCCAGGGCCAGTTTCCGCGTAAGTCCACTCTCGAAGGCCCAGTACCAGGCCCGATCCAAATGGTGCTTGAGGAACCAACGTTTCCGCATCGGAATTCCGGTGTAGAGGAAACTAAAGTCAATGGGAATGCGTAGCAGCTTGGGGTGCTTGAGGAACTGCTGGGCATAATCGTACAGGGCCATGCGATCCGAGAAGAGTACGTAGGCGTAATCCTGATCGAAGCGATTCCTGCGCTCCAGCAGTGTCTTAAAGGATACGGTCTCGATGATGGACCAAAGTATCTGCGGCATATTGTACTTGGCGAATAGTATCTTATCGTAAGGATCCACTAGGAGTGTTATATTGCTCTCCACCAGAGCCTCAAAGTTATTGATTTGCTTCTCAAATACCTCGGAGATCAGCAAGCTCTTCAGGAGTCCCAAGTACTCGGTGGAGTACACAAAACCAGCTATGAAGAGCACAAAGAAGAGTATATATCGGGCTTTTCCCTGCAGCCTCTTCAGGTGGAAACCACTGTACAAAAGCGAACTGAAGACTTCGAGAAGATGCCTGCTAAAGTCCCATCTTCCACTCTTCAGCCAGTGGATTAGGCTGAGGAAGCTCACCACCAGGCCCACATAGCTGGCCAGGCACAGCCACACATCCAGCTGAAAGGGAGCTGTCAGGTAGCGATAGGAATGCAAAGGTTTTGCATGTGTCACCAGGACATTTGCAGCGGCTATCCTGAATCCATGGGTTAAACTGAAGGCTGAAGGATTCGCTGCCAAGGCATCGGCACACAGATCTACTCGCTCATTTTGGAGAGCCAAAGTGCAATTTCCTGGAGAATTACTTGGCGTTAAGATGGGCACAAAACTGGCATTCCTTGCGGCCACGAAAGCCCTTATAAATCTCATGTAGAAGCCAGCAAAGATCGTTTTTCCCACACCGTTCACATATATCATGGAGCGAGGAGCATTATTATAGGCAGCCACACGAACGGGGTAACCATATAGGTTCTGAAACGATCCTCTAAGATTGATATAGGATTTAATGTCAATTTCTTTTATCCTTAGTTTGGGAAATATAACTTTGTGATACAATTTCTCATTGTAGGAGGTATAGAAGAGCACATGCACATAGCCCTCTTGCCACAAATACCTCACAAAGTCCAACCATCTGATGTCCTGTGTCATATCTACAGGATTCTTTATGATAATCACATATTCAGCTTCTTGAAATTGCAAATCCAAGGACTTGAACATATCATAGGGCGGCTCTTCATTTTCCAAAATCACAAAGAGTTTGTTTTTGGCTCCCAAATTATATTGAAGTTCAGTGGCGTTAAAGGCTTCCGTTAAGATCATCAGACTCAAGGATGGCATATCTCGAAGATAATTTGCTTCGTAATTATATAATTTATCGGTGTGATTACAATACAAAAAGTTTGTGGAGATCAGCAAACGTTTATTAAGCTCACTTAAAATATTATTAAGAGCTTGTATTCTTATTAAAGAAATGATAATGAATAGTAGAAGCAGGAAAATCTTGGAAGATGGTTCAAGGATCATCTGTAAGAAAGAGCAGGATGAGATTGTTATGAGTGAGTGAATGTTATGGAATGTAACTTATATGAGAGGAATGGTAAATGGTTTTAAAAATATATCTATATTTTGTTTTGATTTTTACTAGTCCTTTTTTACCTAATATAACTACTACTATTATTCTAATATTTATAATGCATAACTATTCCTCTTTATCATAGTAACTTCAACTATTTTTCATTCATACATTTTACTACCACATTGTATAGTGTAGTGTATTTACCCAATAAACAAAATTACAATTCCCATACGATAATTTATATCCGTTTTGATACAATTTCTCGTCGGTCACGATCACTTCCGCCTTTGTCCAATTCTTTTTCGCAGTCTCGGTCCCCAATTAGCACTCACCTTTTGATATTTTCATATGAATATGTAGGGAGAGGGATTTTTTTTTGGACTCTATCTAAATGTGTATTGATTGCCCAACCTTATAAATATTCCATTCCATTCCACCTGATTGAGTCTGGGGCAATTAACACCACCCACGCAAAGCATCCTCGGCGGCAATTGGGGCACTTTTAGCGGCACTTTATAAACGTGGCTGGAGATTGGTATTATGGTTATGGTATTTAGCTTATCCATTCTCATGAGCGTGCAAAATTTCTGGCCGAATCGTGTCAATATTTTCGCGCAGAGACAAAGGAACCTAAAGTCATGGGAAGCGGCGACATGGAATGGAAAATCCCAGAAATCCCAGAAATCTTGCCACGAGTCTGCAGCGCCATTTTCTCTCTAACTAAATATAGGAGTTCCCTTTTTGGTTCCATCCAATCAGAATGCCTGTTGATCCGATCCGAACTTGGTCTCTCTCTCTTCCCTGATTAGCGGTTGTCAGGGATTGTATCTACCAACTACAGTATCTTTAAGATGCGTTTTGAGTAGGGTTTTCTTTTTGGCAAATTACGCGCTGAGATGCGTGCTGAATGTTGGGAACTGTGATTTTGAATGGAACGCCACCAAAGCGAAATGATCTTCGTTTTCAGTGGGTCAATGCCCAGGTGGTCTTCGCTGAAAATTGTAATTAGCTTTGGCTAATTATAACCGTAAAGGAGGTTAAGAATCTTCAGGAAGAAACGAGAAAAACAAGGCTGTCAGCTGTCAGTTCATTTTTAATCCCTTTCAGCATATTTTACTTTTAGTCAGAAGCTCAAAACTCTGTGAAGAAATCATTTCCGACCCTATAAATCATATATATTCTTGATCAGCATCAACAGGCGAATCGATCTAGCCATATTTTAGGGGAACATATTTTTAATACATTTTTTCATCATTTTTTCAGGGCTTGAAATCGACAAAAATGTATCAAAAATAAAATTTTTTTACATTTCAAATTGAGTATGTAGATTTATTAATCTACCAAAAACTAACATAGGACAGTTTTCAGAATTAAAATTAATGCATTTTTGGCTTAGTTATGAGATTTCTAAGCTTTGATTTTTAGAAAAAACTGCATATTAAAATATTAATAAAATCGATTAAAAAAATGGTATTATAGTTTTATTCAGAAGCTCAAAACTCTGTGAAGGAGTCATTTCCGACCCTATAAATCATATTTATTCTTGATCAGCATCAACAGGCGAATTGATCTAGACATATTTTAGGGGAACAAATTTGTAATAAATTTTTTCAATATTTTGTAGGGTTTAAAACTGTCAAAAAATGATCTAAAATTTTTAATTCTTGTATAGTTTAAATTGAGTATGCAGATTTATTAATCTGATAAAAACTAACATAGGACTGCTTTCAGAATTAATATTAATGCAGTTTTGGCTTAGTTATGAAATTTTAAAAACTTAGTTTTGCTCGATTTCCTATACTTCGATTTTCTATAAACATAAATCATCTAAATATCTAATCTTATCCTAAATACTATTTATTTTAAATTAATTTCTCTATTTCCCGTATATTTTCATGCTTTCCCACTAAGATCTCCTCTTCTCATATGACTCATACGCACAGTAGTCCCCTGACCACATCCATCGTCATACAACAAAGAGCAAATAATTAATAAGATAAGAGAGAAAAGCACTTGCACACAGATCCCAGCCCCTGGGGCTGAAGGTCAAACTAATAATGATTTAGATAATCAAAGAGTGGAAAAACGCAAGGAGCTGGGAAGAGTGTGGAACGAGACCAGACCAGCGTCAGGCCAAGACACTTGAACCTGTTGCAGAACAGTAACCATGTTACCCCGCGGCACTGCATCCGCTTTTTGAAAACCAAACAAAACGATCATCGGGGGAGCGCCGTTGCCGTTGCCTTTGCCTTTGCAGATGCTTCACTGTGCTCCAGTGGTAGAGTCTCTTCAGACCGTGAAGAGACTGGAGCTGGAGTTGGCCCAGACCATAAATACCAAAGGGTTACGCCTATTTTTACACGCAGCCGAGTGCATTTCCTCGTACTTGGGGCCATGAGCGCACAAATATTAAAACGATGCGACGTGACAGATTACAAAACGTTTGACACCAGCGCCAAAGCCGCCAAGATGATGCCCCCCAAAAAATAAAACAGAAGAAACAACAAAATATGAAGAAGAAGGCCAAGAGGAGCTGGCCATGGCTTCTAAGAGAAGCTGAAGATCAGGCAGATGGAGCCGGGCTTAAGGCCGAGGCCAAAGCAACTGCAACTGCAGTCAAGCAGGCAGTGAGGCAGTGAGGCAGGCAGCCACTTGCCACACGACGAAGAAGATGACGAAGACGAGCATGCTGCCAGCTGCACAGTGGTTGAAAATCACACGAAAAATGGTGGGAGGATTATACAAAATAATTATATAAATAGCATTATAAATATAAAATATCACATATTAAATTTACGTATTTAAATTAGAAATAAACTTTAATTTCTAGCTTAACTTGATTTAAACAATAAGATTTTTTAAAGTCAATATTCAATTCAAACTTTTAAATATTTTTAATATATTTATATTTATATTACAGGGTATAAACATTTCACTAAGAACCTAGTAACACTAAGATTGAGTCATTTCCGACCGTATAAATCATATATATTCTTGATCAGCATTAACAACCGAGTCGATTTAGCTATGTTTGGAAGATAAATCTGTTTGAAAAGTTTTTTGGACATTTTACAATATTACAATTGTCAACAATTGATACAAATTTTTAATTTTTTTAGATTTAAAACTGAGTATGCAAAGTTATTAATGTAGTAAAAACTAACATAGCAAAGCTTTCCGATTGAAAATTAAAGCATTTTTGACTGACATGATTGATTTTCAAAGCAGAATTTAGGAATTTTGGTTTAAAGCTTAACATAGTTTAAAATGAGTTGCTAATTTCTTAAATTTAAATATATTATAAGGTGTAATTTCTCATCGTGGTTCATATTTTTAAATATTCTGTCTATGTGATCTTAAGAAGACTAGTTTCTAAGTTCCCTGCGACTGCATTACCACAATTAAAACCATTTCGCCTTAGAAATATTACTTTAAATTTGTTATGGTTTAAATTATAAACTCCATTTCGCAGTATTTTATCAAATTAGTTATTTTCTAATTATAGTTATTTAATTCCGAACCTATAAAGAGACCCTTGGCCACTGTGCATTGTTGCAGTCACGAGTTTGGCTACCACAGCGTGCAGCACCGAGTAAGGAGAGTAAATTGCCTTCAGGCCCATGGCTCCTCGACTGCAACTGGGAATCTGTAACTGGACGACGATGGAGGCCAAGGAGCTGAAGATGAAGATGGGGCTCCTTGAGGATGGGGGAATCCGGAGGCAGCTCCATGGAGAGCGCGCGTCACAAATTAATTCGCTGATGGCGAGCCCAGTGTTCCTTGTGTGCTTGCTGGAAGCAAGATCTGGGGCCATGATTCCCACAGTAGTCCCTTTATTTGTGGAGTGCTCTTGAGGATCTCGAGGTGCTCCAGCTCCTGCTCCTGCTCCTGGTCCATCTTCAGCTCCTGCTTGTCTCTAGTTCACCTGCAACTGAGCAGCGGTTAAATGCGGAGGCTGCAACTCAGTTTATTTGTATCTGTGGCTGCGTCTGGGTCTGGCTCTGTGTCTGCCACTCGTGAGTTATGTCAGTCAGTCAGCGAAGATCTGACCAGACCCGTGGTCCTCTCTTCCACTTGAGCGTGCAATTTTTCTAATTCACATCCCAGAGAATATCAGAGAATACCAGAGAATCCCAGAGAATCCTAGAGAAACCTAGAGCCTTCGCAGCAGGCGCATCGCGTAATTGACTTGGAAGTTATGAACCTTTAAATGCCTCTGGTTCCTGCTGGTGCCATGGTCGTGTAATTTTAATTTTCTCACTTGATTGCCCCGCACAGTCAGTGCCTAAAGGATTGCCATTCATTTCTGGGGCTCCTGTACCAAACACACTCCACTCTGAGCCAAAGTTGATTAGTTGGCCAATGTGGGGGCGGTGTCTGCTCTGCTTGCTGAAAGATCATCGTTATCCTGGGTTTATTTTGTATTCAGAAAAAACTATTTAATTTTGTATTGAAGAATATAATTTTGTTTAAAAATAACTCAAAGTAAGAACCAATTATCGACTTGGTTTAAGCAGAATTCTTAGACAAACGGAACTAGCTTCTTTTTGGGTTTTTATCCGGATACAAATCGAAAGTTCAAACTATTTCGCACCTAAAAAAAACCCCACACTTGTTTGCTTTTTTTCTGATTTATAAGAAAAAATCTTGTTAAATTTGGTTTTTAATCACGCTTCTGGTACACCTGTTTTCAATGCTAATTAACCTGCGAGTGAAGTGAAGTTCCCATGGCAGAGATCAGAGACATCACTAATTAGACGAGGAATGCAAATCGAAGGGAGTTTTTGAGAGGTGGTAGAGGGAAACACATGCAAATTTCAGTCACAGCGCGAAATTCGTCAGGTCGAGATCTTTTCGGTTATCGAGCTATCGGTTAGTGGGGTATTTATAAGCGAGAAGTGATTTTATAATCACTTTGCACTCTCACGACAATTGCTTAGGCAAACCC